TGCCTCCCTCATCTTCTGGTCCCAAGGGCTTGTTGCGTCAAGGCTGTGGCTGGGATGTAACCGGAGGTCCAGTCGGTTACCGGGACTCTTTGCTCTTGGCCTCCAAGCGAGCACCGGTACTAAACATAAGCAAGGCAGCGTGCGTGCTACAACAGTGTGCGAGACGGTACATATGAATTACCTGAGCAGGAAACCTAGCGATCAGAGAAGATTAAACCCTCGCCAATTCATTGTCATCCAGCCAATGTAGACGTTCAGCGCGAAGGACTTGTAAGAGTGTGAGAGGAAACGGCAACGAGCGGAAGACACACCGGGAAAAAGAAACGCCTATGACAGCCTCGTTAGTTCTAAACCCTCGCTGGCCAGCGGATACAGTGATGTTTGTGTATGACAACAACTTGGACGACATGAACAAGAACATGGATGGGCTGGTGGGCAGCGGCAACTTCGCCGCCAGCCAGTGCCGCAACATCATGGCGCACTCGGCGGCCGCTGCTGCTTTGGGCGGCCACGCGTCCAGCCTGGTGCACTCCTCTGCAGGCTACCCCGCGATGGACGTGTCCGCTTCGGGATCCAGCGAGACTGGCGGGTCTTCGGGCAAGCAGTGTGCGTCCGGGCCGTGTCCGGCGGCCGCAGTGTCGCATCAGAGCTCTTCGGCCGCCACCGCGTTGCCGTATAGTTACTTCGGGAACGGCTACTATCCATGCAGGATGGGGAGGGGTTCCCTGAAGTCGTGCACCCAGGCGGCGGGAGCGGCGCTCAGCTCACAGTATATGGACACCGCGGGGAACTCGGACGAGTATGCGAACCACCGGGCCAAAGAGTTCGCCTTTTACCACAGCTACCCAAGCCCGTATCAGTCCATGGCGAGCTACCTGGACGTGTCGGTGGTCCAAACACTGGGAGCCGGAGAGCCGCGCCACGACACCCTGCTCCCCATGGACAGCTACCAGCCCTGGGCTCTAACCAACGGCTGGGGGGGACAGATGTACTGCTCCAAGGACCAGGGGCAGGCTGGACACCTCTGGAAGTCCGCCTTGGCTGGTAAAACCTGTTTTTATTTGTATTTATAACATGTTTAAAGGAACGCACTATTTGCTATTTAGAATGATGCACATGCCTAAAACTGTAACATATGTTACATATGTCTGACATGTCTTTAGGAAAAATGTAAAGCTATATATACATACACATCTATACACACAAACTGACACGTTTTTACGTGTAATTCAAATATTTTAGTTTTAATATTAATTTATTTTTGAATGACTGAAATGCTATTTATATAATACATGTATTTGGTTAGAGTTTGGTACAATGATGCACATTAAGACAAACATTGGAAGTCTTTAGTATTTGATAACTTTGAGGTGAATTGTGCATCAGATGTAGAGGACGATATTGTTACTCAGAGTATTTGGCCTCATGCTCTCCAAGGGGCGACAATTAATTAATGGAAAGGTCACGTATTCACTAGTACATTGAAGATCATTTGTTGCGGAACATTAACTAATTATTAGAGTGATTCAGTAGCAATTGTACATAACAATTTGCAGGACTATGGTTAATTACAACTATCAGCGCAGTGATGTGACTCAAAGATATACTGTATGTAAATCTGTATGTAGGCTATTCATTACAGTGATGCAATTAAATAAGTCAATAAAAAAATAAAAAGAGGATATGAGTTGTGCATTTCCGTGTGCATGTGTAATTACACAGCAGGTCACGCGCGTGCCGTAGTGCTTGCAGACAGCAAACCTCAAGCACATTGTCTTGTCGGTGTGTCGTCAATTTGGCTCCATGCGTTAATGGAGAGCAGATAGCAGCACCATCATTTACGCAGACGCTAAACGCCGCCGTACTGTTTTGTCTGGATTACACACGGTGTGTTTACAGCCCTAATCCTGTACAGCCCCTTTGCCTTTTGTTTTCTCCAAACAGATGCGGTGGCTCACCAGCACGACGGCTCGCCTTTCCGCCGGGGCCGGAAAAAGCGGATACCGTACACCAAGCTCCAACTAAAGGAGCTCGAGAAGGAGTACGCCGCTAACAAGTTCATCACCAAGGAAAAGAGGAGAAAAATCTCGGCTGCGACCAACCTGTCGGAGCGCCAGATCACCATCTGGTTCCAAAACCGGAGGGTGAAGGAGAAGAAGTTTATGGCCAAAGTGAAGACCAGCACACAGTAGCCCACATTTTTTTTGCACTCAGGACTATTTAGTGAAACAGTAATTGCGTGTTGTTAAAAAAGGGAATTACAAAAAAAGAGAAAATTAGAAAAACGATGGACAGTGCTGCCAACAAACGGGATGAAAATGCGAATAAAAAAAGGACATAACGGACAAAAAAATAAAAGAACCAAAGCCGTCTGGTCAGCTGTCTCTTCAGAGGCGTCCTGTAAATACAGCACCTTCCTGCCTGCTTTAATGTAACTGTCCCGTCTACTGTGCGTGTTTACTGTGTCGGTGTTGTCTTGTAGCCAATATTCCCCGCCCACCAAATACACGATGGTATGTAGTGCATATTGTTTATAATCCGTGTAAACCATTATTAAAAGTATAGTGCAACACTTAATAATCCCGTTTAATCCACAAATTTCCTCCAGTAGTTTACATGTCCTTAAAATCTTGCATTTTCGCGATTTCTTTTTTTTTCAGCCCGTAAAGAATGCAAACCAATTAGCCTATTTAGTTGCTGAAACGTGACCCATGCAGTTTGGGCAATATAGTAGGAGGAGGATTCATACCTCTCAGTGCAGATGGAAACATGTTTATGAGACTGTGGATTCGCTCCGGGCTTTAGGCCAGCTCTCTGGAACGCCATCATGCTCCATCCTCCCCGCTATCGTTTGACGGGCCTGTAGACCCCGTGTGAACAAAACCTTCACCGACTCCGGCTGACTAAGCGGGCTCGTGGTGTTAAGCCGTGTATTTGAATGAACCCTTGTATGGTGTTCCTTTTTTTGTCACTCATGTCACTCATTTGTCTCAGTGTTGTCGTTTTTTTTTGTAATTTGGGGGTTTTAATTGAACGAAATTTAAAAAAAATCTCAACAGACATTTACTTCTTCCCAATGTTTTCCTCATTGTTCTCACCGTGTCAGCTTTCTCTTGAGTAGCTCCTGTCTGCAGCTTGAAACATTGTAAATAAATTGTCGCATGGGATGTTGTGTCCACTGAGTCCCTCGGTCATGTCAGGACAACTCTCATCCCTTGAATTATATCAGGGCTTTAGATTTCCCAGTGTAGACTTGTAGGACAGAAGATACTCAGGACCATACACTTATCCACGAACTTACGTGGTGTGGGCGGTTGATGAGAATTCTTTGCAGAACATGAGAAAGAGACGCCTCCACCTGTTCGTAAAGTACTGTCACAAACACGGACTGCTGAAAATACTGCATCTACACATATATACATATACTGTGTACAGAGATGGGCAAAAACACATCAAAATGTTTTTTTAATCAATATTGTATACAAAATAAAATAAAATACTAAGGCCAGAAAATGTAACAACATATAATACATGCATCTTCTATTTATAATACATATATGTATTTTGTTTTTCTCACTATTTGGCATTGCAGAGCATTCAACAACTTTATGATTGATGGGTATTAACAACTCAAACTTTCGCTTTGTATCAGCAAGACAATATTCATCAGGCCTATGTACTATAAACAAAAACTATAGAATTCAAACAGTTGTACACATAAAGAGCCTAAATTCCATCCAGATTGCAGACACATGCTTTATTGCATCTTGTTGATGGTCCTTCATGAACATTATCTTGCTGAGGCATGTTGTCCACCTGGCCCACTAGAATGTATGAAATAATAATACAATAATACTTTAAAATATACCTTTTAAAGAAAATAAATATGTAAGGGTTTTCTTTTACCAAATGGACATGTCATAGCAGTGCGGGTAACAGTGCACTGTATTTTCTGCCAGTAATTGATATGGCATTATGACATTCACATTGAGAAAACAGCATAACTTTTCCCAAGTTCAATTCAATTCATTTTATTTTGTATAGCCCAAAATGGCAAATTACAAATTTGCCTCAGAGGGCTTTAAAGTCTATACGACACACTCAGATAGAATATTGAACTTGAAGATCTGAAGACTGGGCTCGTTAAATGTTTTTTTGAGTATTTTGAATACTAAATTACTCCACAGTTTAGAATTTTTGTTAGATTTCACATTGGACACTACGGCCCCGCTGAGCGGAGCGAGTGGGCACTCAGAGTCCCGGTGCGTTTCGCTTAACAAACGGTTCATAAAAGGAAGGAAACATTTGTCTGCTGTATATTGGGGGGCAGATTGGTATTTTCTCAATATTGGGGGGACACGACCACCCCAAAGGATGCGTACGCCCTTGACACACACGCCAGCGGAATTTAGCTTGATCTACAAGACATCCAACTAGGCAAGGCAAGGCAATTTTATTTATATAGCACTTTTCATACACAAGGCAGACTCAAAGTGCTTCACATTATAACATTTCATACAATAAAGTGAAATAAAATGCAGGAATTAAAAGACAATTAAAAACAGCAAATAAAATTATAAATTAAACCCTACTCAATATTAAGTCCATTTGTGTGCTAAATGCGGTTTTAGTTTGCTCAAAAGGGAGCAAATGATATGAAGATACAAAACCGTTGAATTGTGACTTATTTTTTAAACATCTCTACACACTCAAAAATAGAGGTACCAGTTTGTACCTAAATCGGTACAAATGCTTGTCGCAGGGGAGGTACCCTTTTGAGAGACAATTGTGTACCTTTCAGTCCTGGTCCATTTATGTACCTTATCAAATTGTACCAGTTCAAGTACAGTTGTGTACCCTGCAAGACATAAATGTACCTTTAATCTATAAGGTATAGCAATGTACCTCATTGAAAGGGTACTTTCCTGTACTTTAAAAGGGTACCCCCCAGTGACAAGATATTTGGGACTTTAAGGAGACAAAAATGTACCAGACAATAATTGCTTCTTTACCATTTATTAACATCAATGAAAATGTATGTTTTGAGATAAACATGGCAGCATTTATAGTGTAAAAATCTTAATTCATTCAATTCTATATAGCTACATATAAAATCAATCAATGTCAATGCATAACATTACAATATGTAAAGATTGCAGTCACATTAACATGAGGCAGAATACTTCAAAAAGTAACACACATTTAGATAGAACATACTTACACAGAATACCTCAAGGAAACATACAGTCTATCATCGACTAAATATGTGTCGAGAGCTTGATAGTCCAACTGAACTGAGTAAAATCAGTCATTGTCAACTTTGACGTGGTAAGCATGGAAGTGATTGTCATAAGAGCAAGGCAGTAACAGTTTCCCACACAACACCCAAAAAGTCTCAACGTTCAGAATGTACTTAATTTTCAAGAATTTTCGAAAAACATGCCGCCTAAAAGAATACTTGGAAAAAGCATACTGGCAGTTACTCAACCCACAGGTTATGTTGAAATGAGGGTTGTGTGCATGTACAAGTCCAATGTGATGAATCAGTTTTCTAAGAGTAAAGGTCCTCTTTGAGGATTTTGTACACTGATGCAGTCCAGGCATGATCAGCGAAGAAGGTTGACAATTCGAGTTACAGTTACCGGCAGGGATTTGTCTCCATCCCCCGTGATGTTTGCGATGAGCCTCTGGAGAAAGGTCAGTGTCTTTTTCAAGTATCCAGGATATGCCATGTTGAAGACAAAGTACATGCAGAAGGCTGCAATGAAGGCCTCATCCACCGAAGTGCAAGAACAGACCTCAATTCCCTCGACATTGACCACACTCTGGCACTGTCTGGAGAGGGCAAATTTCAACCCTTGTGCTTTCAGTTGAACGGTTGGATATGGAGTTTGAGGATTTTTCTGCATAAGAGAAAAGAATGTTAGCATACATAACAAGATCAATATGATTAAGCATGCACAGTGATCTAAAAGAACATTAACTTATGGCTAGTGGCTATGCAGGACACCAGGTATTTACCTGTCCAAGCATAATGAAATCCTCAATCTTCTCCTTGAATATGGATGGCAAGAGGAGGAGTCCACCCCTGAAGTCAATTCCTAGGTCATAAAGATTTTACAATTTTAATATTTCAAGGAATGTTGGTTGACACAAATAACCCTTTAAATTCCAAGACAGGCTACCGCATGTTACTTCAGGTTCAGTACAATAAACTAAAATGTATTAGCTTTTAAAATGCATGTGAGAAATAAACAAATTAAACATCATCAAGATAATGTTGCATTATACACCCACTATGTGCCACAGATTAACAATGCAGTACCAGTTCAGTGGAACTGTACACAGTCTCTTTAAAAAACGGACTGCACACAACTGACACAATGATGGAGCAAAATTAACTAGTTATATGTGCTCAAATCAGTACCTTTAATATCCTCAGCCAAGGCATCCTCTCTTGCTTCCATGTATAGTTTTTTCAGTGGCGAATCCTTGACAAGTTTCAGCATATTTGGGAGAATAGATGTGAAGTTCTCACTGATGCGGTGGCATATGTTGACTGGAGAGGGGTGCATGGCATCAACCTCATCGCACAACTGAGATTTAAAAAAAAAAAAACAGGGGAAAGAAAGGCATAGGAGGAACAATGTAGTGGCAGCCAGGACAGATGCAGTAAAATCTTACAAATGGAAATTAATTACAACTGTAGGAGAAGTCTATATGAACCTTTTTTCAGAATTTCTGTTAAGTGTTAATATATAGACCGGGAGCAATTTAAAGCACTGACTGTGGCTGAAGTTGGCAGCAGCTTAATTGTTCTTACCCCAGCGGATGTTCTTAGGAATGGATATCTCCTCAACAGATCTTCAGTTGACATTCCTTCTGCTATTTCTCGGCGTCTCCATGCAAAGGTTTTCATCATGCGGTCTTTCACCAGATTCATGTCGGGATGCAACTTTCTGTATTGCTCAAGCAGTACCTTGATATGAGCCTCAACAGAGGTTGCATCCTCCCCCACAATGCATGATTCCTTTATCAAAACAGATATCACTGGTTAGAGATCATATGTACACAATATAACAATGTGATCTTGCCTTAGCTTTTGTGAGATTGAGGGGACTTACTAGAGATGGCTTCAGTCGTTTTGGACATGTGGATGTAGATTCTTCTGGGGTCTTCAGTGATCTTGCTTGCCGAAACTTTTCTTTGACCCGTTTTACTTCCTCATTGTTGATTAGTGGAGCCCGTTCTGTTTTGAATTTTCTCTTGAGTTGGCTGTGCCAGGTATGCTGGTTGTTCCAAACAGATATCATGAAAGTTAATTATGCACACTTCTGTAAATCTAAAATCTGTTCAAATTAGAGACCAAAGGAGAGGGACTTACATAACCATTCCCGTGTACATCCCTTAAGAAAGGGTACTTCCCAATTAACGCTTTAACGATCTGAACGTAGTCCGAGTTGGTTGGATACCTGTCTCAAACAATGACAAAACAAACTACATTACCATATTACGGTGAATAAGAGACTGCAGGAGAAAATTTTAATATCACTTTCTACCTGTTTAAATGTATGCTTGTTGAACAGGTGTAGGGATAAAGTATTGGTATTTACTTGCAAAGGTTTAATTACATTTATAGTAACAAGTGTAGTTGTCATCAACTCGAGTAAAATGTTATATTCACTGCACGTGGTTCACTGACTTCACTCCGTGCACGTGTTATTGAGTGGGTGTGTGCCGGGGTGACAAGTTTGCATGCGTGCATCTGGTGAAAAATTATAAAAACTGTACATATTACATTTTATGTTTTGTATGATAATTGGAAAAGAACACTTACATTGTACACTGTGACAGCATGTCATACAGATTCCCAATTATTTTGTTACGGTACTTTTGTTCCTTGTGGACCGGTTCTTTAGCATCTAAGCGGCTCTGGACATCTTGTGGGAATTGTGGAATGGAAATGACTGCAGGCAGTCTGTGGCAAGTAGATTCCAACCTGCAATACAGCAGAAGAACAGCATTATCAGATTAGGACAACACCACCTCAATGCAAGATAAAAATAGAAAAAGAAATGGTGAAAAAAATAGCCTAATTAATACATTACCACCTCTGGTTTGCTGGGGACACAGAAGCTTCACATGTTTGTTGCTCTGGGTTGACCACTTCCAAAGTAACGGTGACCTCCTTGTTGCGGTGTGTGAAGTCTCTAAATTTTAGCTGCTTTTTGAAAGACTTGTCAAAGAGATATGCAATCATATTTTCTGTGAGTCCGCAGTCTACGGTCTCTCCATCCACATCATTGTCTGAAATATAAATGAAAAAGCTATTAAAAGAAGCACTGAAACTCTGGACATACAGATAGTGACTGATGCAATTCATAAAAAAACAACCTTTTTTGCAACTCGCTGTAATGTGGTTTGTAAATAAAGTTTTAAAAAAAACTGTATATAATCATTATATCTCATTATACAGAAATGTTTAGTATGTTATTTTTCTACTTCTCATTATCATCATTGATTATTAATAATAGTGTTTAAAGTGAGCCTTTTATGTTCAACAGAAAAATACATCATACAAACGGCAACTTTTGCAGCCTTGTCAGTCTGATGGCGAGTTATCACCTTTGTCATCACTAACATACTGTTAATAATCAAAGCTCTGAGGCTTTACATTTGTTCTATATGTTAGAAAACAAGATGTCAGCATCAAGCTATAATCAGGCTACATTCATGATTTTGTACAGTCAAACTAACCAAAAACTTCTTATTGATCATCATTATAACGTTTCAGGATTTCAGTTTCCTGTAACCATGGTAACTCACGGTGCCAGTGGGGAGGGAGGGACGCGGAATGAAGCTGTTTACAGACACACCCCAAAGTGCAGACTATAGTTGTTATTTCACACATGTAGCACACAGCTGGATACTCTTTGTGTCAGACGAGTTCTCACGTGTTGACTAAAGTCAAAAACTAACGTACGTGGCACCGCGACGAGTCCTTGTAAATACAAGTGCAAGGTTTCCAGCCTGCTTCAGATAATGCTGCGTTTACTGACTAATTATTAAAAACCAGGATGTGTTGCGTGAACTATCTTAAGCCACTCAGCACTAATATCCCCGCACATTGCTGTGTGTTGCGTTAAACGGAAGATAAAAGGTTGCTACTGGGAGAGAAAATGAATTAAGCCAATTCAAAATATATATGTTTTCCTTTAACATGTTTTTACCACCAACTGTGATATACATGTTTTGTCAGAATAAAAATGGAAACATGAATAAATAAACACCAAGTAAGAAACACTAGTGAATAAGATAAATAACTTCAGAGTGTATTCGCGGGCTTGGGTGATTTCTTTTGTTTGTTGGAGCTTTGAGCGGGAGACCGTGTACCTTTGCTAGCTTGACATTAGCATGGCTAATAACGTTAGCCGACTTAACTATTTGAGCAAACTAGCTAATATTTTCAATAACTTTACTTACTACCTACGTATTTGGCAGTTCAAGATACAGTATTGTCTAGCTTAGCTACAGTAGCGTTAAGTGAATTAACGTTAGTGACTGTAATATCAGAACCAGCTTAGCTAGCTAGCTAGCTACTGATACCAATGATTTGATGTTAGCTAGAAACGTCTTTGATAGTTATGAAGTTCAAACTTCACTTACCTCTAAATTTCTGAGCCTCCTCTTCTGAAATTTGGATTCCTCCTTCCACCACCAACTTTTGTAAAAGTTCCTCCGTGGACAGCCCCCTGAGTGACATAGCTACTGAATGAACAGTTGAATCGTGAACGCACACTTTTCTTTTTTTTTGTGATCTGACTCCTGTCTGTCCTGCGCGGCACTAGTTTGTCGTCTCTGGTATTAGTGCGCCGTTGTTGCTTGACAACCAGTGTGCTACCTTGGGGAACTATATTTTGGCAGAAGAATTAGGATTTGTTTTCAGTAAATAATCACATTTTATGTTACTAGGTTGTCTACAGCCACCATTTTAGTAACCGTTTAATAAAAGCTCACCAACCGTGATTTACAGTGATTTTAGAAGACTAGTTCAGGTGGGTAATTAGACCCATTTATCTGCACAGGAAATTATTTGTCTGTCTTCAGAAATGCAGGGACAATTTATTGAGCTGAACAGGGATGGCAGGTTGAAGCATAATTTTGCCACTTGTTCTCTTGTGATCTTCTGGGTGGCACTGATGAGGGAATATCCGGATACGGCCTTAAAACTTCTCCTTCCTTTTGCCTCCACATACTTGTGTGAGGCAGGCTTTTCCAAACTAACAGAGCTCAAAACAAGAACACCACGTTCAAATGAGGCTGTAAATCCAAAACTGAGCTGAAAAGAGATTTGTAGAAGAAAATAGTCTCATGCTTCACATTGAGCTAAAACTAAATGTTGCCAATAATAAAAGGCTAACAACAATATAACAATAATAATAATAGTTCTAAATACCTCAACTATAACTACTAATAGGCCTATAATACTACAATTACTTCGAATACTGCATGTACCCCTTCAAATGGTACAAATTTGTTCTTTCTTTTGCTTTAAGTCACTTTGTACCCTTTCTGTTAGTCAAAAGGTACACTTATGACCTCTTAAAGACCAATACTGTATTATTGAGGGAACATTCTTCAAAAGTGTACCCATAAGTACAAAACTGTTCTTCTCTCGTACCTCTATTTTTGTGTGTGTATTGGCATCTTAAAAAGTTACAGGAGGCAACGGAGAGCGGTAATCAGTTGCTCTATTGTGTGTGGCTCCCTTTGAGCATGCCCATGCGTGTGTGTGTGTGTGTGTGTGTGTGTGTCTGTGCGTGTATACGTGTACGAGAAACAGAAGCCTGTGACCTTGAAAGTCACGTGACCAATCTCAAGTCTCCTGCCAACATTTTATGGCAGCAGCAGAGCGTTGTTGCGTTTCCTGCTTTGACAGAGACGCCCCTTCTCGGGCTCACGCACGCGCGCACCCACACACTACGGCAGCTCCAGGGATGACACATCTATGCTCTCTCAATCAGCGCGTTCCAGCACACCATCGATCCGTTTTTACTGCTCCATGTGCAGTACTTTGCGTTTTTTCTTACAAACCTCACAATATTTACAACTAAAAATAAATGTGTACAAAGTCCGATGTTCAGAGGGTTTTTCAGTAGACGAGTGGTACAATATGCGTGCTGGCGTTTAGTATGAAAGATGGATCTCACCTGATTCTGCTGTCACGAGAAGTGCTTAATTAGCTAAATTCTGAACAGCACAATTCGGACAAAACCATTTATTGTCAGGCTTATTTGGCACCATGTACAGCAATTCTGTCAGATCATCCTTGTAAATGATAATGGGTTCTCAATGGATATTACCTAAATAAAGGTCAAATAAATAAATAAAATAAATTCATGTCGAATACAAATATTTATAATAAGTGTAATGGTTCTGCATTATGATGGAGTGGGCCCATTTGGACCACTAATGCAGGCCTCTCGCGGTCTCTCCAAAAAGGGGCAATCCAACCTGGGGTTGGGGAGGGGTGGGGGGGGTGTCATAGACTAAACCAGGAGGAAATTGTTTACTTTGAATACTCTAGATAAACAAAACTAAGGAGGTGAGATCACTTTGACATTTCTAATAATATTTCACGGGTTCGACCCAAATATTAATTCATGACCTCGGAATAAATGTCAGTCCTCGTGAAAAGAAACTCTCATGTCGTTTGTCCAAAAGTGTATAAATAGTGAATACCCCGAAACCTTTTACATCAAGGCTCTAATTTACACACTAGCATTGCCGTTAGAAGACTTTCTATATACTTATATGTAAACATTTTTCCAGATGTCACGTGTAAGTTTGGTAATTTTCATGTGTTTTCACATTAAATATTAAAATGAATAAGGCAAACATGTTTTAGATGTACAAATTAAAACATTTAACTCTCTAATCTTTTAATATCTCTAAAATGAGAGAATTAAAAAGACAAATGAAATAAAATAAATTATATGAAAAAAAGATGATTTTGTTTCCCATTTGGGGAAATATGACCGTTAAACAGATTTAAAGAAAATTGGATTCCAGTCAGTGAAAACAGAGTTATATTTCCTGTGTGTGTGTGTGCGCGCGAGTGTGTTTGCGTGAGTGTTAAAGATTAACATTGAACTTGACAAATGGCGGCGTGCTCTGCTGGCCTGTCGACTCGCTTTACTCTTGTGTGTCTGTCCGCTTAAAAACAACAGTACCAACTGAAGCCCTGCAGCTCATAAAGCCCCTTTCTCCCCCTTAGTCGAAATACCAGAGACAGGAGGAGGAGGAGGAGAAGGAAGGATGACCACTTCTTAAATCTGGAATTACTTTATTTCCTCACTCAAAAGCACACGCTAATTCGAGATGATTAATAATACAGTAATTCATTATTTTTTTGCACATTAAGTTTTGTCCTATTTCAACCAGCAGCAGCAGCGCTACTTTTTGAATGGAAAACATCATATTAGCCCCTTAAAAGAAATTGTCCATGGAACGCTGAGGGAAGGATTTAAGTGAATTGGCTTGTATAGTTATTAATTTAGGAATGTAACAGCAGGCCAATCATACGTTTTTAAATGCACTGGAAGATCATACATTGTATTATATCAATAAATTGAAATAAATAAGAGAGAGTAAATAAAGAAAACATTTTTAAAAGTAGATGTTTGTTAACGAGAAACAATAAAATACATTTTATCGCTAATAGTTTTTTACTTTAGCATAAAGTCAACACATTGTCCACCATCTGTTTTTTTTAAACATCGACAGTTGATATTTTCCAGAGGATTTTAGACTCCATAGCAACTACAGCAATAAAAGATCTTTGGTTATTTTGATTTTGTCACACCTGTATGTCAAGTTGGGTTTTTGTCCTGTCTCCATGTTTATTTTGTGACTTCCTGTTTTAGTTTGGAAATGAACTCTCCTCTCATTTCAGGTTCCTTGCCCTTCCTCATGTGTCACCAGTCTGATTGTCTTCCCTGATTCCTGATTGTGTCCACCTGTTCCCACACTTCCCTCATGTGTACTTATAGTCTGCGTCTCCCCTTGTCTTGTGCCAGTGTGTCATGGCCTTTCGATTCGCACACCTGCCTCATGATGGAATTAAGCCCAAGTCATATAGTTTTGTTTGTCCTGAGCAGAGACTCCTTAGTTGGCCTTATGCCGTTGATTGCTCATCAGCTCCTCGATTTATTCCTGATCCTTTTTTTGTGTGGCTGTTTTGTTATTTCCTCTGAGTTTTCCCAGGGATTTCCCTGTGTTTTCTGTTTGTTCAGTTTGTGCTTGTAAACGGTGAATCCTCAAAGACCACCAATGTTGGTCACGGAGTCCCACAAGGTTCTGTACTTGGACCGATTTTATTTACCCTTTATATGCTTCCTTTGGGTGATCTTATCAGGAAACACCGCATAAATTTCCATTGTTATGCAGACGATACTCAACTGTATCTGTCGATCAAGCCAGAAGAGACGGACCAGTTAGTTAGACTTCAAGAATGTCTTGGAGACATCAAAACTTGGATGACCGACAACTTCCTGATGCTAAACTCAGAAAAAACGGAAGTTATCCTGATAGGCCCAGAGCGCCTTCGAAGCCAGCTGTCACGTGATACAGTTTTTATGGATGGAATTGCTCTGGTACCCAGCAGCACCGTCAGGAATCCGGGAGTTCTCTTCGACCAGGATATGACCTTCAACTCTCATATAAAGAAGACTTCAAGGACTCCCTATTTTCATCTACGTAACATATCAAAAATCATGAACTTCCTGTCTCAAAGTGATGCAGAAAAATTAGTTCATGCGTCACTTCCAGACTCGACTACTGTAATTCTTTGTTATCAGGCTGCTCTTGTAAATCTCTTAAGCCTCTCCAGTTGATTCAGAATGCTGCAGCACGTGTATTAACAAGAACTAAGAAAAGGAATCATATCATTCCTGTATTAACTTCTCTGCACTGGCTCCCTGTTAAATCAAGAATAGATTTTAAGGTACTTCTCCTCACCTACAAGGCACTTGCTGGTGAGGCACCATTGTATCTTCAAGAGCTTGTAACACCGTATTGCCCTACAAGGCAACTGCGCTCCATAGATGCTGGGTTACTTGTTGTTCCTATGGTTTTAAAAAGTAGGCTGGGGGCCAGAGCCTTCAGTTATCAAGCTCCTCTTTTATGGAACCAGGTTCCACTTTCAGTCCGGGGGGCAGATTCGGTCAGCTCTTTTAAAGTAAAACTTAAAACGTTCCTCTTTGATTCTGCCTATAGTTAGGGCTGGCTCAGGTTAGCCCGGACCAGCCCTTAGTTAAGCTGCTTATAGGCTTAGAATGCCGGGGGAATTCTTAGGACACACCAAGCTCCTCTCTCACACTCTCGTTCTACCATAATTCAAGTTTTATTAATGCACATGACTAATTCAGCTTCTTTCCGGGAGTTTTTTTTGTGCATGTATTATACATTGTTCATTCTGTACACATGGCATCCATTGTAGTCTGTCCATCCCGGGAGTGGGATCCCTCCTCTGACGTTCTCCCTAAGGTTTCTTCCCTTTTTTCCCTCTTGTAAGGGTTTTTTTCATTTTTTGGGGAGTTTTTCCTGTGCCGATGGTGGGTTTTGGGGCAGAGGATGTTGTATGTGTACAGACTGTAAAGCCCTCTCAGGCAAATTTGTAATTTGCGATTATGGGCTATACAAAATAAAATGACTTGACTTGACTTGTTAGTAAATAAAAGGTTCAGCTGAAACCCTATTCGGAGTCCACAAGAGCTCCCTTTGTGACAGATTTCTTATTTCAGAAAGGAGAGAAATTGAACCCTTCATTTGATGCTTGCTATATATTCACCATACATTATCATTAAATAGTGCCTAATTTGCATATTTTATCAACATTTCAGAAAACATTTCTTAATATATTGAACTGTCAAAGTTACATGACATATATATATTTTCTTTTCTACTCAATTCACCTAGGTCCCAAAATGAATGTAATTTTATTATATTTAAAGTTTTCAATTTCTTCTCAGACTCTGATCCAGAAATCTCATCTTCAATAGAATGTACCTCCATCAAACATTAGTTTAATTTTTGTCCGTATTCGGAAGATTAGAGAGATTTATTTATGTATTGCCTGGTGTAATATCAAACAATAATTCAATGTGAAAAAAGTATCCAACAAGCATTATCATTTTGCGTTAAGCCCCATAAAACTACAAGGAATTGTTTGAGATAAAATGTCCCTTTTAATCAACGTCCTCGTTGTGTGTCCTCACCGCAGTACTGTGTCTGTTTCAGCTGGGTCGCGATGTTAACTTTCCCTTACATGGTGAGCGTGACAGAGTTATCACTGTGATCAAGCCAGCCTCCACTTCGAAAAACACAGTCAAGCCTGCACGTTATTTGGCCGTACGTGTATATATTAAAGCAGCGATTCCCAAAGTGTGGGCCGCGGCCCACACAGGTACCGCATGTGGGCCGCGAGAGGTCATTTACAATAAATAAAAAAAATGTTTTTAATTTTAAATTTAATATAAAAATATTTCTGATTTAAATTTCTGTATTTTACTTAAAACGTTGATAATTGATAAGATACAAAACGCACATCTTTTTCTCAGTTTATGTATTATTTGAACAATTCTAGCGGCACATTAGTTATGTGAAACATTAATTGATGAAGCACAAACAATCCAAACGA